CGGAGGGGCTGTGCTCCTAAAGCTCCGCGCAGTCTCGGCTCTGGCCCCTTCCCCACAGTCACGGCACAGTGTGGTTAAATCCTCTGCCACGGCCACAATAACAAATTCATTTTCCAAAGAAAGAGAGGAAGCGAGAAGTCCCTGGCCACACTGCAGAGCGCAGCCGGTTGCCGGCCGGGGCAGGCAGCTGCCCGCCTCCTTCCTGTGTAGTCTGGTTTAGTTTCTTTGCCTTCTCCAGAGCAAACAGTGTCGAAACTTGGGGGGCAGTTTGGCAAATCCCCTCCCTTGCTTATAAAAGTTGCTTCCTGGCGCAAGGTTTCCGGCACCCTGTTCCTTCCGAATGCCGCTGGCGGGGGCAGCAGGGGCTTCCCCTGTCTGGCTGGGAGGGCAGCAGCGTGGAGCCAGCAGCACCAGCCCTCCAGCGCCCGTTGGCCCCAGTGCAGCAGCCTCCCCCTTCCTCCAAAGGGCTTGGCCGTGACTTGGCTGCATTTAGCACTTGAGCCCTTCGCTGCTTTTGCATAAGGCCTGGTCGTGGTACGGGCGGCTGCCACCCGCACGCAGGACTGGGGCAGCGGAGACCAGCCCTCGAACACCGGCACAGGCAGCGTTCAACCAACACACTGCTCCTGTCGAACCAAAACCCCTGTTTCCCTGCAAGCCCATCCGCACACACCACAAAGCCTGCAGCTGCCCTAAACTATTGCTGTGTCTCCAGAGACAGCCTTCACCTTGCTGTCCTCAAAGCCTCAGCGCCAGCGGCACAAACTGCGTCAGCTCAGAGCAAATCTCCCAGGCAGCCGCTCCGCACGGCCACGCCAGATGCGGCGTTCTGGCTGGTCTCCTGCAGGACCAAGGGCTCTTCCAGAGGGAATCAGACAGATCAACAGCAGATTTTGCTGCTATTATTTCTGCTATGAATTCTGCTTTTCCTGCTCGGCAAGAGATACAAAGACTTAGCACGGTCCCTTGGTTCCAACAAGACGGCCTTTGGTGCAGCCCCTGCAGCGCCGGGGCAGCGGGGACATAGCAGAGCCACCGGCCAGCAGCTCACTCCGGGGGGGTGCCCAGCACCTGCAGGAGCCTCGCCACGACCGGAGAAGTGGATTTTTGTTTTCTGCCGGCAGCATCGCAGCCAGCCGAGGGGTGGGTGACCACTGCTCTTGAACAGAAGCTGCATCAAAGCTCAGACCATGGATATCGGGTGAAAGCCCAGGGGACCAAACGCGTGTAAAAGGCCCCTCACCTGCGCAGGGAAGCGGGTGCTTGTCCTGGCTTCTCACCCTGAGGCCTCTGGGGCCAAGTCAGTTGGAGAATGCAGAAATGCAGCTCAGCAGCCCCAGCAGAGGCTGGGACCAGTAGGTCTGCATTGGAGCCAGCACGCAGGCACATGCTACCCCATGGCCCACAGGGACAGGCACAGCCCCACACAGGGGCACCAAGGGTTAAACGTCTGCAAAAAAACACTGGGAAAGTGGCCAGGAAGGATCCAGAGAGCAAAATGGCCCCCCTCTGCAAGGTGGAGGCACGGGCACGGGCAGCTGCCTTGGGGAAGGACGTGCCACCTCCGTGATGTGCCCTCCAGGGTCCCCAGACCTGCAAGGCGGGGAGCACCCCAGGAACGTCTCACCTCCTCTGCCCCACGGGCATGGCAGCTGCCTCAAGGGTCGGGTAGCTGCAACCCCCACGCCAGGCTCCAGGGAGGAGCCCTGGGACGCCCAGCAGCCCTTCCTCTCCCCATCCCCGTCCTACCGACCATCGCAGGCTCCTCCAGGTTGTCTCTGTCCATTCGTCTCTGCCCATGCTCTGCTTCTGGCACCAACAGCATCCCAACAGCAGCCAGTCCAGGGCCCAAACATCTTCCCTGGGCCCAGCGTTCAGGCTCAAGAGGCTTGGACAGACAAATCCTGGAGCAGCACCTGGCAGAGGTATGTTTGTGTGGTTTTTAATTCACAGTAAGCAGGAAATTGGAGTAAACTTTGCACAGAGCGGAAGTGAGCCAGGCCATGCTGGACTGAATTCTGCTTGCGTTGCTCTGCTCCATCCCACTGAGCCCCTCACCCTTACGGCTGAGGGTGGCTGCGGCTCTGGGGGACGCTCACTGCCTGGTCCCTGTCTGGAAAGCAGCTGGAGGGAGAAGCAGGATTTTCTTGGAGACCTTGAAACACAGTTTGACTGCTCACAGTTCATGGCCCACAAGATGGGTACCACTATGGGCTACCACATCACGCTGAAGCAGAGCAATTGCTTGTATGAGCTCCTGCTCCCAAGAGTGGGCTGTAGCACTTCCAACCAGTGGGGAACAGGCAGAATTAAACTGAACAACAGTATTTTGGGCTTTTTCTCTCAGTGAATATGGAAACAAGAGTTGCAGCTATTTAGCTTGCAAACCATTCAGTCAGTGCTGTTCCCCACACAGACAATGCCATGGTCCTTGAGGGGCCAGGCAGGATTCACACCAGAAGCAGCAGAGGTGAAGAGTCTCCTGCGAGCCCCGCGTCTTTCTGCGGCTGTATGGAAACGTGTGGTCATGACTGCCAGCCCCACCACATGCCACCGCCTTCTCGACAGTGTGTGGTGCTTGTGGTGTTCGCTGCCACAGTGCCAGGTTTCAGGAAACAATGAATTTACTGATCATCCAGTGCCTCTGCCTTCAGCAAAATGACTTGGGTACGGAGCAATGCAAAGTAAGAGCACGCTGGTGTTATTCTACTGAAGGCCAGACAAAAGCTACTTCAGCCCCTGGTTAAAATCCTACTTTTTCGCTCTAAGTGTATTTACTGGAAAAGTGTCAAACACAAAGGATGTAAAAATGTGCTTACAGATAGCACAGCAGTTCCCAGGAGTGAGTTTCTGTAGTGAGGCTGCACAATTCCTGCCTATCCCTCCGGCCACGGCAGGAGCTGCTTTGGGTATTGCTTTAACACACTGTCCTGGCTGCAGAACCAAGCGATGAAAGGGGCAGAAAAGGCTTCAGCAAAGCCTCCTTCCTCCCCTTGCCCCACTTGGGTAGTGGAAACTGCAAAGAGCCAGGTTTTGTAAAAACGAGGGCTACACCACGCTGCCCTGCTCTCTGGGCACCCACCTTGTGCCCCATCAGCACGGTTCATCATTTTCATTCATCTTTTAGAAAAGAGCTTGTGTCACGTTGTCCCTGTGGTTTTGTCAATCAGAAGAAAAGCTGAAGTTAAAAAAACCCTGACCACGTATGCAAAAATACAGGTGTGGGAGGGAGCAGAGAGGTGGGAGTGCAGAACAGGCGCTGGCTGCAGGCTCTGGCTGCCTGAGCACCGATGGTTCCGCTGCCTGGCAGAGGCTCTCGGTACAAACCCCAGCCCGGCTAGCCACTGACAGCAGCAGGCAGCAGCAGCAGGCCAGGCTGGATTCAGGTCGAGCGGTGAACGGAGGCTGAAGAGCTTCACCCCTGCTCGGAGCCAAACTAAAGGGTTGCGCTCAGCCCTCGCCGAAGCCAGGAAACTGCTCTTTCTTTGGTGTCTGATGTTATGGTGGGAAATCGTGATGAAGGGGGCAGTGCAAAGGCAGTGCTCGGAAGGGCAGCGGTCCCGTCTGCACTTTGCACGGCAGTGGCCCTTCGGGGACTGCAGGGAGCTCTGCCAAAAACCTGGAGCAGAAAGGGAAAGCGGGCAGTTATCTCTGCAGCCTGCTGCTGCGAAAGGAAACTGTCCCTCGTATCAATCTGTAACAAGGACTCTTGCTGAAACAGGGGTCCTTGCCACACCTCTGTTGCCTTCCTTGTAATCAAATGCTCCTTTCTTTCATAATCACCTCCATTTTCATCTACTGCAAAAAAGCATTGTACTTTCCTGGATTTCATTAAACTGCCTGTTCCAGCTCTAGCAATACCGTGAACCTGACGACTCAAACACGTGCTGAAGCAGAAGTTAGGCAGAAGGGATCAATAGCAATTTATCAGGAAAAGGCCGGCCCAGGAGAAGCAAGAGGTTTCAATACGACACAAGAAACTCAGCATGAGGAAAGTACCATCATATCCCCTGTTCCAGGAACCAAACACGTGCTATTTCAAACTTACACTCCGCAAAATGCTGCAAAACAAACCCCCCTATTATTCTCTCAGACTAGTTTGAATTCCTGTGAATTAACAAAGACGTAATCACATCCGCAAAGATCCCAGCGTTCCTTAGGAACATCTTAGAAAGTAGGAATGAGTCATTTCCTTGTACGACAATCAGCTTCGCAATGCCATGATCTTGGAAATGACAGTTGAGCAGTCAAAGGCAAACACTCAAAGGAAAATAAAAGCGTTTAATGCAAAACATCTTACCGAAAGTTTTTACAGCAATTTCATATAAATGGAATCTTCTCTTAAAACATGAAACCACCAATATAAATGTACTGTTACAAAGCTGGCTACAAAATTATCTCCTCAGCCACGTAGAGAGGTAGGGAGGGTATTTCTGTCACCTGAAAACACCTAAGACGAACTGAGAAGTCATGTTCAGGATCTGGCCTGCTATGTCTTAGTGACGGTTTTTGGATAGCACATAGGTTTTTGGATTAAAACATTAAAACTTCACAGGCTGATAGATCTTTACCCCATAAGGCCTTTACTAAGCTTCCCAATAATTTGTGGATATGCAACGGAAATATCCGAGCTGCCCGTCAGCTACATTATATGGTTTTTTCCCCAACGATGGGAAGACTGATGTCAGGGCAGACTGTGGTGCGTGTTCCCCTGCAAGGGGATGGTTACAAAGAAAAGTTGTTTCTATTCCTGCTCCGTTGCTCCAGGCTGTAGTTTCTGGGACCTAAGGGCAGGTTTGAATGGGTGCATCCTGGCCCCTCCGGCTGCCCAGTGGCTCCGGGAAGGCCAGCCACTGTGAGGAACAAGCGGTGCAGCTACCCCAGGCTCCCCATCTAGACCGCTGCTTCCCAGGCTGCCAGAGAGCAGAATCGGCAAAGAGAGAGCTCACTGTGGAGTGAGTGGGGCCCTGCGGAGACTGACAGCAGTCAGTCCAGCCAGGAGGCAGGCTTGCAAAGAGCAAGAGACAGAATTGGTCCCTGACGAGAAGTGGCAAGAGGCAGCTGGAAGGGAGGGGCAGGGCAGCAGAGGCTGGAGCCCTCTCCTCCCCTCTGCAAAGCACTAAAGCAGCACAGCAGCTTCCCCAGCACATTAATTCACTCCTTCATTTGGTGGACTTGGCCCGTCTGGAAGTGATTACCTGTAAAAGGAGCTCTTTCACCAACGTAGCTGTTCACTGAAGCTGCATCCTGCAAGGCTGGGCTCTGCCTGGTCTGCTGCCAGCCGAGCAGAGCAAGGCTCCAGCTAATCCCCAGCGGGGCTGAGTGCCTGCTCCCCGCTTCACAAAACAACAACAAAAAGGCCTTCGAGGAAGATGCAGTGGGGGAAACGCAGCTCTCTAGAAGACAAAGCCACATTAACCAGCCTTAACAAAGCAACAGTTTTCTTCCCTCGTGGAAGGGCAGGCTGGTGCCTTCCCTCCGCAGGACAGACTGTCTTTCGCGCTCTTCATGGGAAGCCGCCTTTTCTATTTTGCTGTGCTGCTCCAGTGCTAGGCTCCCCGCGCTGCTACCAGGAGCTGAAGTCCCCGAGGCCTGTGCTCTTTTTCTCTTTCTTCACAGCTGTGCTGGTTGAGGGCCTGTCATCTTCCAAACTGCGCTTCCTGGAGCCAACAGGAAAACAACTCTCAGGGACTATTTACCTTTCAGTGGGACCAGGGCAGCTGGATGCCCTTCCTCCCCCAGCAACAGCTACACTGGAGCCAGCCCATCCCTTACCAATTAGAGCGGAGTGCATGCTCCGTGCCAGCACAGGCACCACAGCGGGGTGGGGATGGGGGCCTTTGGTGTACCCAAAAAGAGGGAGAGTGTGTCAGTCTGTGGGGATGGTTTGGGTCAGGCTTGGAACACTTCCACGAACCCATTCAAAACCCAACAAGTTCTCCAGGCCAGACATGAAGATTTAACAACTGTACTTTTTTAGCACAGTCACAGTGAAAATGTGAGCCACATGTTCTCTCGTTGCCTTCTCACCTGCATTTGTGGCAGCAAAAGGATTTATGGGGAATTAGGTGTAAAGCAGCTAGGCAAGTGTTTCAGATCCTTTCCTGTTTCTCGAGCATGGCCTGTTGCAGTGGCTGCTGCTATTGTCAGCCTCTCTTGAGCAGAGTCTGCAACCCCATGGAAACACTACGCAGCCAGCTCACGTACTGTGGTTTTATTGTCAGATATCAGTAACCGATAGGAAGAATCAAGAACCTTGAACCTATGGACCAAATTCCCAGTTTCAAGGCAGGAGTCAAGGAAAGAAGGACTAGGAAAGAAAAGTCCTTTCTCTACTACTCAACCCTTTCCACAGAGCTGCAAACTCTGCTTGGGTTTCCTCTGTAAATACAGCGCAGAATGGCAACAATTTTAAGCTGAACATAATACTTTAAGGGACAAGCAATATTCATAACCAAAATGTCTAACTGATACACCAAACTGACCTACACGGGCTAACATATTTTTATTCTCACAGTTATGCAAATGCCTGTTAAGTCACACAAGCACATACAGGCTGACTATATAGCTGTCCAGATCTGTCTATGCGTAAATACATGCCTTTATGCAGCAGACAGACAACAGCATTTTTGCAAATGCTTTTAGAGAAGTCTGTGAAAAATCAAGTGGCAGGCATTTATTTTAATTTATCCAAAACTCATGCAAAGCTGCCACTCAGTTGGGATTCTGTACTGTCCTTAGGAAAGCAAGCAATGCTGCCAATCCCAGCGGGCGTACAAAGGGTGTCTGGGAGAGGATGCTTTAGGACAAGCCTGTACAACCAGCCAGGCACCCTGGAGCTACTTGCCAGACGCCCTGTGCTCCCACGGCAAGCCTGGGAACCTGCTCCCCTTTCCGGCCGTTTCAGTTGTGCTGGTACAACTGTTCGTGCGGCTGAACAGGGAACCAGATCAGTAGACTGATAGGGGTTTAAGGCAACTGCTTTGTGCAGGGGAGAAGCTGCTAAAAGAGAAACATCTGTGGGACTGTGGCCTTCAGAAACAGCTGCAGAAGAGGAAGAGAATAAAAGATGGTGTAGGAAGTGACACAGTACAGTTCCTCAAGGACTTCTGAGTTGTGGAAACATATCTACAGTTCTGAAGGCAGCACACGCTGTTAAAGACCAACTTGGTCAAGTGCTAAAAGAAAAGCTCAGTTAACTTGTAATCCTGAAAAACAACAGAAGCAGAGGGAACTCCTGACTGTTAGGACAGCTGCAAAGCCTGCTGGCACAAACCAAACATCTGAGCAATGGCACTGGACAGGGTCAGCATCCAGCAGGAAAGGCAACTAAAACACTCAACAGAGATCGGATGGGCAGGGAACTCACGCTGCAGCCATGTTAATGTATTTTCCAATCCCCTGCCGGTAAGTTTTAGGAGTCTGGACCTCTTTTTTTGGTGGGACCACCTCAGCTTTTGTTTTGGCTGCTTCTTCTTCTAGCTGGGCCTTCTCTCTTTCTGCAGCAACCTGCGGGAAGCAAAGGAGTGCAATCTGTTGCAAGAGCTAGTCATGATTAAGGAGAAAATGTCTACAATTCTTTGAAGCTTTAAAGCACTCTAAAACAGCAATCAGCACTGCTATGATTACAGGGCAGGCTTTAGGAGACAGACCTCAAGGGCCACTACAAACAGGCTGTCTGCAGCCATTATAACAAAACTCCTCTCTTCTCACCTGCAGCTACCCATAGCTACTGTGGACATTTGGAAAGGAAGCCATCGTAAGCGTGATGGACTGGGAGCCGTGCCAGACTCAGTTACAAGACCTCTCTGCTGAAACAGCAGCAATGACCCTGGCACACAAGGCAATGCTAATGGCAGCTGTTTAATCTTAGCTTGCAACCAAAGAAAAGGCATTCATTTACAAAGTTCTCCAAAGAAGAGCTTTGGCCTTTCCAAAAAACCAACAGCCAACCAACCAACCACCTAACTATCCTCACCTGGGCATCTGCTTCTTCATACGGATCAACAAAAACTGTTGTTGTCTGAATTCGTATTTCCTCCTGGGAGCAGAAGAGAAGAAGAGCAAATCAATCTGCTGATGAAGTTGCGCCATCTCCTCCACGTTCAGCTTTGAGAGGAGCAGCAGCGGGGTGAACCGCAGTGCCACACGAGGCCATATACGTTCACTCCCTCCTGCACAGCCCCTGGTGCTTCACACGTACCTTGGGGCGGTCTGTTTTTGGGTCACTTTCCACATTCTCCATAGCAGTCAGAGTCTCAAAGCCACCAACCACCCTAAAAGACAAAGAATATAATTTTCAGCTGTCACAACACGCTCAAAATATTCCTGCGCTGTTAGATCTACTATATCTAATTTATGTCCACTACTCAAGCAGATTTTTAAACCATCATGTTTGGGGGAAGGGCCATCAGCAACTGTGTCTGGAAGACCTAAGATACTATCACTCAGTGCGGAAGGTAAGAATTTTTTCTCAAGTCTGGGATTTGAATTTAAAATTAAACAGAACATGGAAACGTCTAACACTCAGAGGCAAAGCAAAGCCATTTGTCCAAAAGCTGGGCAGCCACACAAACCAGCAAGATGGAGAACGAATGGCTGTGGACAGCCATCTGTGCAAGAAGACACAAACCCATTTCAACATGGGTTCACTTGCTAATGTTACATCCATAAATTTGGACCTCATTTGTTACTCTCATAGGCTTTGAAAAACGAACCAACAGACTTGGTCAAGAAAACAAATGTTTTCATTAACTTCTGATTTTTTACTTTTTTTTTAAAATTGTATATCAGACCGAAGAGTGTTATTAGGAAGAAAGGGAATCATAACTATGGCAGTACTGCAGAGCAGTACCAGAGCTGTTCATAATAACCCCAGCAGTGCAGAAAGCGCAGGACTGCTCCTGAAGCACATCATGACCATGAGCTCATGAGGGCTCTGGGAAAGCAGCAGAGCTTCAAGTCACAGCCACAAGATAACACCAGGATGCTTTTCACCTCAGTTTCTATTTAGGAGGATGTTAGATCCCTGGCCCCTCATTTTTCAAGTCAACATATCCAAATACTTGGTTCAAAATGTGTAAGAAAGACTGAAGACTTTCTGGACTGTTGTATGTTCATTTTCAAAAAAAGTGTGGAACAACGGGAAAGTTCCAGAAAAGGATATTTAGAAAGGAAAAATGGGGTGACCCAGATAATTATAAGCCTGTCATCCTGGCATCTATCCCAGCAAAATAATGCACTAGCGGAGACAGGACATGATTAAGAAAGAAAGGAAATAAGTAACAGTAATCAACAAGGTTTTGTGGAAAACAGAGTCTGTCAAACAACCTTCTATCTTTGAGACGACAGATGTGGTTAACATGGATAACAGTGTCCGTGGAACAGACTTCTGGAAGGCGGCTGATATTTTGATTGAGAAACCAGAACGATATGAAGTGAACACAGCACACATTAAATAAAAAATTGGCTGACAGGTGTCAAAATCTAATTTTAAATAGAAACCACTGAGTCAGTATGTTTCCAGAGGGGTCCTGCTGGGATCAGATCTTGGTCCCAGGGTATTTAACACTTTTATCCACATCATCATCCGCAATTAAATTTGAAAACAGCTATACTTAGAAGAGCAGTAAATAAAGATGAAGACAGGCCGTTGATGCCGAGCGATCCAGATCCCTTAGAAAAGCAGGCTGTAGCTGGACAACATCTGTTTTAGTAGAGCCAAGCCACATGGCCAGGAACCAAAAATACAGCCCATATTAATGGCTGTGGGACAATGAAAAAAAGCCATAATTCTCAAAACCACTGCTCCTGGGGCCAGAGGAGTTTGGGGCCAGGAGCTCGGCAGGGAGGGCAGGACCCGGCCATCGAGGAGCCCAGGGCAAGCCAGCAATCCTCCAGCCTTTGTGAGGTGGCAACCATTTGAAACTTGATTGCTGGGATTACTGGAACTCCGGTACTAGCACAGGGCTGGGCAGATGAAATGGAGGAAATTAAATTAAACTGGTGGAAGAAAAAAAAAATCAAACTGGTGGAATCAAACTAACTCTGCTTTCATATCAGAGAAATGAGCAATACCTCAACCAAAAGATACGTCATATTCACAGGTACATGGCACATTTACATGTGGTATGATACCTCGCTCTTGCAGGTGTTTCGCAGCCAGGCAGCCCTCTCCAGTCCTGGCACGACAGGCTGCCCGGCCAGCACCAGGAGAGGCCACTGGCTGTCACCTGCGATGGCCTCAGCTGATCCAACAGAGAAATGCACCTTCTACCACCACCCCACCCACTTTACACACCTGATGCACTCCTCCAAGAGCCACATTAACCAGACGAAATAGGCTGACCACCGTGGTCTGAGAGGTAAGAGGGTCCTCCTCATTCAACGCCCCTCGGGCTCAGAACACGGCACCCTGCCCCTCCGTGCTGCCCCTCGGGCTGGGACAGGCACCGAACACAGACGAAAACACAGACCCCGTCACAGAAAATAAAACGATGCAAGTCAGAGAGGGTGCTGCTCGGCACCTGCCCCAAGCAGAGCCACCCTTGCTAACATTTCGTTGCTGCTGCACTGCTCCAAACTTCTCCCCTTTGCTCCCCAAGGGACTGTCAATATTCTGTAATCATGTTGTGATTTTTAAGAGCAATTAAAAAACATGTATGCAGGCAAGAAAAGCCTCATTCATTTGCAACTGGAGGTAGCACACCAGGGGAAGCTGCACAGGGCTTGTAGACCCTGCATGAACTTTAGAAAGTTCATAACAAAAACTCAATTTTAAAATCCTCCTCCAGGCCAATATCAGATTCTCTTATAATACTGATGATTAACACACAGCCTAAGATATATTCACTGTATTTTAATTGCCCCTAAAGGAAATTTCTGATTTAATATTAGAAGATTTTCTAGCCAACAGCTCCACTCATTATCTGCTCGTATGTTTTCATTTAATTAAGTTCTGATAATTTGAAATAGCCAGATCAGCTATGCACTGGCAATCTCAACAGAGTAATCCCTTAGCCCGTAGCTAGACCTCCCACAATAGTAGCCCTAACGCATTTTGGCAATGTTCATGAATCTTCAGTTGCTATGCTAATTAAACTTTATTGGGAATACGTCGTCGCTTGTACACTTTAAAAGGCTGTGATAGACATGGCATTCACAGGTCATCAGTAAATGACCTAAATAGTCTATTTTGACATGATTATAAAGGGCTAAAGGCAAAGATGACAAAGTTGTTATGCCTGCAGAGCATGCCATTCTCTTTTCCTCTTAGCTTCTTGTCTCTAAAATGGAAAATTGCTTTCTTTTACACCCCTCCATTCTCTAACATTTTGCACAGAGTGTATCTCTATGCCTATTACAGTGTCAGCACAGTGAGCTCTCAGTACAGGTTTATGCCTTTAGACACTGCCATAATACCACTAAAAAACAACAATTAATTTGAATACAAACCACCAGCTCAGAGAAGAGAGCTCTAACCAGAGGAACTGGAAATAATTTACTAGTCACTTTTGTTCAGGCAGCCTTGTCAAGGATCAGGCCCAGCTGAGGGTGGTGTTTCATCAGTAGAAATTAAAATCCAAAAAGGACAAAATCTGATTGCAAACATCGCCTGTCCAGTAAAAACTGAACTACACACTAATCAGGGCAGTCATGGATGGATGCAAGAAAATGGGATATTCGAACTTAAGGTCTCAAACCATAAAGGATTTTGCAAACTCCTCTGATTTTTCTAAACCGAGAGATGATGTACACACAGGCTCTCGAAACATTACATGTTGTTAATGTCAAATCTCATGATGTTCCATTGCTGCACTAAAATCAGTTTGTTGAGATGTAACAGGTCTAAGCCCATGCACTGGCATCCGTTACAGCAATTGGTCCTCACAGAATGAGGAAACCAACACACTGGAATAGTTCTGGGGATTCTTTGCCTGCCTCACAACACATACTCTGGGTGTAAGAAGAAAAGCTCACAGACATCTTGCCAAGATACATGTAGAAAAGACCATCAGACCAGTACATTAAATCATTAAAAAAAGCCTCTAAAGAGAGAGCCACTACTTAATATTATTCTAATATCCACTAACTTTGAACAAAAAGAGATAAAACCTGTTCTGTGAATAAATCTGAGTCTCAGCATAAGGAACGCTGTACATCATTTTCATTAAAACAAAACGCAAGCTCCAGAAGTTCAGACTAATATCCCTTTCTAGCCTCTCCATGTGGTAAGTGCGTTACAAAGGCAGTGACAGGTCACACCGCGTTAGCCTGTCTCCTCCAGTGTCACTTGTGCTGCATTGGGAGCATAGCAGAGAAGGGAAGGGAGAAGGGCAGAAACAAGTTTAACCTTTTCCACTGTTTCTGGCTCTATTCCTTGTATGAGGTGCTACACATACTTTGCCCTAAATTGACAAAGTGAGGTTTAACCAGATGTTCAGATGACACCCTACGGTGAAAAGGGTGATACCTTCAAGACACTGTTCACATTAGAACAACCAGTGAAACCAAGGGTTTGCTGTGTACTTCCAGTAGATGTTGAACAGAGAAATGATGATCTCAGCTATATATTTAGATCAGCATCCCTGAGACAGCTTGTTGTATTTTTAGAGGAGCTTGATAAATGTTGCATTACATTTAAGCATGGACGACAAGGTAGGTACACTTTGGGTTTTTTTGTTAGCACAGTAACAAAACCAAAAAGATGCCCTTACTTGAGCAATTCTGTTTTCTTGAAAACTGCACTAAGTTAGTACTGGAAATCTTTGCATTTCAAATTTAGAGATGTTACTTGAAATCTTACTTCTTGTTAAGGCTCCTTTATGCAAACCTTGCGTCATAACCACTGCCAATGTCTTCGCATGCAGTATAAGTGAAATACCCGGAGCATGCTCTATCCATTTGCAATATGCCAAGGAAAGTCTTGCTGCTACATTAGTTAGTGCTGCTCCCAAATTAAACTGCAGCTCCCTAGCAGTCTCACAGACATTCACACATGGACTTCCTATTTCTCATATTTTTGTTTAGAGGAATTATAGGAATTAAGCCTTATGCAATGCTGGGGATGGCAGCGGTCCAAGACCATAATTTCCTGGTCAGAAGACGATACAAGAACAATGTCTGGACTTTTTCAAAAAATGCTTTAAACTAGAAAAAGAAACCAGAAAGAAACACTGTTGTTTTTTAAACACATTCTGCCCTCAAGGTTATTTTTATAAAAAGGAGTACACACGTTTATACACACACACACACAGAGCAATATACACATGCACAA